GGACCATATCAGACCTCATCAGGACCACATCAGGACCTCATCAGGACCACATAAGGACCACATCAGTCCTCATCAGGACCTCATCAGAACCTCATCAGACCACATCAGACCACATCAGGATCTCATCAGAACCTGATCAGACCACATCAGGACCACATGAGACCTCATCAGGACCACATGAGACCTCATCAGACCACATCAGGACCACATGAGACCTCATCAGGACCACATGAGACCTCATCAGGACCACATGAGACCTCATCAGACCACATCAGGACCACATGAGACCTCATCAGACCACATCAGGACCACATGAGACCTCATCAGACCTCATCAGGACCACATGAGACCTCATCAGACCTCATCAGGACCACATGAGACCTCATCAGACCTCATCAGGTCATCATCATACCACATCAGGACCACATCAGACCTCATCAGAACTCATCAGACCTCATCAGGACCTCATCAGGACCTCATCAGACCACATCAGGACCTCATCAGACCACATCAGGACCTCATCAGACCACATCAGGACCTCAGCATACCACATCAGGACCACATCAGGACCCCATCAGACCTCATCAGACCATATCAGGACCTCATCGGAACTCTTCAGAACCACATCAGGGCCTGATCAGAACCACATCAGACCTCTTCAGACCTCATCAGAACCACATCAAAACCTCATCAGGACCTCATCAGGACTTCATCGGAACTCATCAGAACCACATCAGAACCACATCAGACCTCATCAGGACCTCATCAGAACTCATCAGGACCTCATAGGAACACATCAGAACCACATCAGACCACATCAGGACCTCATCAGAACCTGATCAGACCACATCAGACCTCATCAGACCACATCAGACCACATCAGGACCTCATCAGAACCTGATCAGACCACATCAGGACCTCATCAGGACCACATAAGGACCACATCAGTCCTCATCAGGACCTCATCAGACCTAATCAGATCCTGATCAGACCACATCAGACCTCATCAGACCACATCAGGACCTCATCAGAACCCGATCAGACCACATCAGACCACATAAGGACCACATCAGTCCTCACCAGGACCTCATCAGGACCTCACCAGGACTTCATCAGACCTCATCGGAACTCATCGGACCACATCAGTCCTCATCAGACCACATCAGACCTCATCGGAGCTCATCAGGACTTCATCGGAGCTCATCAGACCTGATCAGAACCACATCATACCTCATCAGAACCACATTAGGACCTCTTGACCTCTTCAGACCTCATCAGAACTCATCGGAACCACATCAGGACCTCATCAGACCTCATCAGAACCACATCAGACCTCATCAGGACCTCNTGTCTGCAGAGCCCAACAGAACCAGAACCGTCTGTCTGCAGAGCGTTTCTAACAAACAGCTGCAGGAATCACAAAGATCACCGTAACCTAACTTATTTTGAAAGACTTCCTGTCGCGTCACTCTTGGTTGGGTCGTCGGTTCTGGAAAGGTTCCTATTGGTCGATCCACAGCTTGTTGGTTTGTGAGGAACTCAATCAACCAATCACATTCATTTCCCAATCAATTGACCAATCACAGCAGCTTTGAAAGGTTTGGGAACAGGAAGTCTGAGTTCATCCAGACATTTTCTATAAATTTCAAAATAAGAGTCACAAAGTAGTCTGACTTCCTGCTTTACAGAGTAGATTTGAATTGAACCAACCAGGAGTCAGAGTTGGTGCTGCCCTGTCCTGATAGGCTGGTTTCTGATCAGAGATCAGTTATTCAGTGTGATGCGTCACTCTGTCTGTTTTTTTTTTAAGTTCTTTGTTCCTGCGTTCTGATTGGCTCGCTCTGCTGTTTGTTTTTAGCACCAACAGAAACATAAATAATTAAAAACACACACACACACACACACACACACACACACACACACACACACACACACACACACACACACACCATATAAAACAACCATCAGTCTCTGTCTCCTCGTCTTTGTAACGATGAGGAGGGGCGGGGCATCGCCATGGTTACTACACGTCCAGGATCTCCTCGGCGGTGCCGCCGCAGCGCAGCCGGTACCGGCTGGTCCTCCAGCTGATGGTGGGGTCCCACAGAGCCGACAGGAAGATCTGAACGGCCATGGACTCTCGGATGAACCAGGCCACGGCGAAGTCCAGCTTGGAGAAGCTGAGAGGACCGCCCTGTGTGATGTCATCAATCAGACAGGAAGTCAGGAGAACACACGAAAACACCTTGACCTTTGACCCAGAGGCCCTGAAACCAGTGTCCTTTCACAATAAAAGCCTGAGGTACCTGGACTCCAGTCAGCTGGATGTAGTCTGCGATGAACCAGGCCAGACAGTGACACATGAAGAAGACCATCATGTCCCACCTGAAACACAGAAACACTGTCAGCTGATCCATGGCCCCGCCCCCTCAGTGCTGCAGCAGGTTGCTGCCCTCTGATTGGCTGTACCTGAAGATGTGGTGAGCGGCCCAGCCGATAATGAGGCTGGCGAGGAAACACTCGGAGACCGGCTCCAGGACCGTGGCTGGAACCATGTTGATCCTCAGCTTGGTCCACCTGTTACACAAACATTCCTTTCATGTGGCTCCGCCCTCGTGGAGCTGACAACAAGCAGCCAATCAGGAGACAGCTGGGAGCTCACCTGATCATCCTGGACTGGAACTGACCAATGGAGTATGAGCCTGAGTTCTGCAGGGCCACCTGCGTGGCCATGGAGAACCTCCAGCCTCTGAGGAGGAAACAGGAAGTCAGTCACCTCTCCTGCATGAAAGGATATCAGCTGAATGCTAATGCTAACATGCTAACCTGTCAGCGATGGCTTTAGCCATGAAGTAATCCTCAGCGATGTACTGAGCGAAGGTCACGAGTCCACCTGCCTGGTCCAACACGTCCTTCCTCATCAGACACGACATCCCCGTCACACACTTGATCCCCGTCACGTTGGCAGAGATGTAGGAGCGAGGGTGGGACGTCCCAAAGTACACCTGGCAACAGGTGAGCTTGTTAGCCAAAACAAAACACATCCAATCCTGCTGTTAGCAACCAAACCATGTGGCCATGAGACCCCCCACATCAGACCACATGAGACCTCATCAGGACCACATCAGACCACATCAGGACCACATCAGACCACATGAGACCTCATCAGGACCACATCAGA